TTTTTATAAGTATTAATAAATATTTTCAAATCTCATCACTAAATGTTGCTTTACAGAAATTAAAGAACAAAATGTGATGTTTCATATATGGGAAGCTATTCTGATGTACTTAAGATATCTGAACTATCCAGTCTATATGTTAGAAATATGTACTAGAATGTGTCAAGGATTTATAACATATGCTATTAACATCTACCACAAAGTGAGAAGGTTTACACAGTACTGTGTGTAATATCTACTAGAAAGTGATAAGGTTTACACACTGTGTCTAATATTGTGCAACAGTGTGTATTATTAATATCCACCAGAAAATATGAATAATTTAAAGTATTTGCTAGTAATATTTGTTTGAAAAGTACAAGGCTCAACGTTTGTAATGTTTACCATAAGGTGTAAACAAATTACAGCATGTGCTAATAATATCTTCCTTATGTGTTAGCAGGATCCAACATAAAGTATTATGGTCTTGCAGTATGTGTTAATATTATCTACCATAAAGTGCATTAGTTTTACAATAAGGTTTAATAATATTTATAAGAAATTGCTAAGGCGTGAATGTGTTACTAACAATTCCCAAAAAGTATCAAATATTGAGTTGAGAATGTGATATTAAAACAATTTTGAATAAGAAAATCAGCAAGTAACGTGACAGCTACAACCACTGGAACGGAATGTATCAAAACTACATTTTGATATTGTTTGACGTTTCGTAGGTAGTGTGATTTCATTGAAAAGTGATCGCTTTTTATAAAGGTGTATAACAGGCCTTTACGATGCAAAATATTCATACACTCATAAAGATGTGTTCAGATTGCAGATTTAGAAGTTTCAAGATGGCGATATCTCTTGTACATTTAATGGCATTGGAAAACGAATGAATATGGTTCGAATTGGGGCTCTAGGACAATCCAGAAAGAAACCTGCAACAAGCCATACCACAGCCGTGGTGAGTAAAGTGCGGTGTCTTGTAACAGGTAAGAACCTAAGAACACAAAGGTCAGTGTAAAAGGTCATATTCCTCCTTTTTCAGGCAACAGTATACAACATAATCAAGAAGGTTCTTCTATAGAAATGTGATACAAGTCATATCCGTTCACTCGTCGCTTACCTTAAGCAGCTGGAAAAGGACACTGGTATTTATTGTATTCCGTACGAAGACATACCAGTCAAGTCGTCAGACTCAGCACATACGGATGTCTGTGCAATAGGAC